TAGATTATTTGAGTGCAATCTTAGAATGAGAGGTACCGTGCGGCGTTTAGAATAAGTTAAGCGTGCGTATGTGGGATCCCATGCGATTAGTATTAAGTTAATGTACGTGTGTGTGTGATACAAGTTCTTTACTGGATTGTGGTAAAGAACTTGTATATAGAGTGAGAACTCATTTATCCTTCTGATAAATGAGGTTGCATTCGGAGGGAGGAAGGGATTTGGAGTTAGGGTGGGTCGCTATCGTAGCCACCTCCACGTGGTGTGACCCGGTAATCGGTATAGTTCTCTGAAGACTTTAAAAAATCTTCAGAGAACTATACCGAGCTAAGAGCTACGATTAGAAATTAATTTAGAATTAGCATTTAGAATTATTTAACATTTATTGTTATTTAGTATGTTTGTAATTCGCGTATGGACTGAACTCAGAGCGCATAAACTAAACGAAAATGCATTTAAGTATACGGTGGCGCCCCCTAGCGGTAGAAGTAGGAACTAACGAAGCGCGTATCAGAAATGAGTGTAGTTCGCCCCGTTCGCCGGAGAGATGGCGCCACTAGTATTTCCAAAAAATGCATTAAACTGCAATTGCCGATTTTAGCGTTTTTAGACACATTACGACATTGTTCTTATCATATTTTGATCATAGATTGCAAATATGATCGTATAAGAAGCCTACAGTTCCTAATTTTTCTAAAAAAAGAATAGAATTTTTTATTTTGTTCTCAGCCATCAAGGTATAGGTACTTCAGGTGGTTATATTCTTCCTTATTCTTATTTATGGATGGTGTTATTCTTATTTTTATTCATCCTGATATTTTAGTCATGTATTATTTAACATTTGTTGTTATTTAATATGTTTGTAATTCGCTTATGGATTATACTCAGAGCGCATAAACTAAACGAAAATGAATTTAAGTGTACGGTGGCGCCCTCTAGCGGTAGAAGTAGGAACTAACGAAGCGCGTGTCAGAAATGAGTGTAGTTCACCCCGTTCGCCGGAGAGATGGCGCCACCAGTACAATGTTAGTTCAACCTCAATTAATATTGATTTTTCTTAATTAATACGCAATAATATGACTCAAATATTAATAATAATTAGTTCCAAATTGAATTCTGCACCTAATATAACGATTTTATGAAAAATATGTATGTGGTACAGAAATGACATCACCTCGAGTTACATCAGTTTACATGCTTCAAATTCTTCATCACTGTTTCTTTTTTAATTAAGTCCTGCTGGAATTAATTATAAGAAGGGATTTATTAAAACGCCCAAGAAATTTTACTCATCCTCCTTTATTACAAAACTGAGAAAAAAGAAAACTTTGCGAGAGTAACAAACTTTTGGCTTATGTGACTAGTTATAATACTCAGCGGCAATACTAAAATTAGTGCAATGTAAGTATGTACATTTGTGTGATTAGGTGTGACGTGTATCGTGAACGCCGTGAAATACAATAATAATCGTTGAAGTTTCGAACGCAAAACAAACGGATACAAAAATATACATTTTTCTTCAGCGTACCTAGTTTCGGAAAAAAACTGAAAATTTCATCGTTCCACGAGTCATTACACTTCTATATTTCTTCTTTCGCACAACATTCAATCTTTTAACGAAGAAAACCATCGAATCTTTCAAATTACAAGTTTACAATCTTTCACACATTTCCAATTTTCTTTAAAATAAGTTACAGGAGTTAAAAACCGTCCGAAGAATGAATTTCATTTCCGGTCTTTGTCAAATTTTTACAGTCTAAAATTGTAAGTGTCTAAAACTCGTTCGTTAAAATGTTAAAACATATCGTTCAACGATCTTCTTTCATTGTCTTTTCTTCAACACGCGTATTTTACAGACTCACACCTTCATCCACACATTCGTACTTTTAGCAGGGTAGACACAACTTACTAACTTATACGGGTTAGTCGCTTTACTTGGTCCGTTTCACGTTGCTCGCCCTTATGTTCAAATTCTCTATATTTTCACTCTTTGGAGCACTTGCAAGTTTTCGTTTACATTCCCTCGCTGGAAATTTAGATCCGAGGAAGATTTCACATAATTACACATAGCTGCAAGGACACATATGTGGAACGCTACGTCATCTCTAAATCTTCCCTAGATCCCACAATTTCCCAAAATTTCAAAAAATGAAAATTAGCAAAGAAGGATAAAATTTCGGAATGTGATTATTTCCCTCCTCCCTTGTGACAGGTCAATTCAGGGCTGATTCGCAACGAACGGCTGGCGACGGTAAATACTAAGAAACTAATTCGCTATTAGTCTCTGTCTTGGAAGACACGGTATGGCAGGAATTTTTGATTCAGGAATTACGGGGAGGTGAAATGGGAAATATTCTTTTGGAAATCTAAGGGAAAATATTCTGGAATAAATAAATAATTAATCCCTTGCCTTACGTGGTCAAATAGTGATCTCAGTCGTGATATCAAGGTTTAAAGTTCATTTGCAACGAAACACAACTGTAATAAATAAATAATTGTAAAACAAGGGATTCGGGGGAAGCGTCGCCAATGAAATTTTCAGTTTTCGAACACATTTTTTTCTTTTTTTCTGTTTTTAAACGAATCGAACTTATTCTCTAAACGAGAGATGAACGAATTAAAAGGATTCGATCGATGAAGGAAGCTTAAATCCTAATTATTCAACAATCCTAAACGTATAAATAAACACGCGATGATTAATTTAAGAAAACCGCGAATACCCGTACTCTTTTCATACCTAAACACTTCGGAATCATTAATCGTTACACTCTACACTCGATAACACCGTTGTTGGTTTTTTATTAATTACGAATACACGAGTACCTCGATCGGTTAATTATTATACACTTAATGGGTAGCAAGGTGTGTAGAAAATATAGGACTATGTGTGTCGGTTTCAATTTCCACACATTTTAATACGTGTTGCTGATTTCGTTGCCTTCTAAGTCATTTTTTTACTGATAAAATTTCCAAAATCTCAATCTTCAAAAATTAGAAAAATTGTAAACGAATCTGCAAGTTTCTGCAACTTCTTGCAACTCGTTATATAATCCCCTAAATATATCGCCATTCTGTGCCAGTACATGTGTCCACATTAGCATCATAATTTTTTGAACTGATAAAACTTTGAATCTCAATCTTTAGAAATTAGAAAAATTGTAAACGAATCTGCAAGTTTCTGCAACTTCTACCAACTCGTTATATAATCCCCTAAATATATCGCCATTCTGTGCCAGTACATGTGTCCACATTAGCATCATAATTTTTTTAACTGATAAAACTCAATCTCAATCGTCAGAAATTATAGAAATTGTAAACGAATCTGCAAGTTTTTGCAACTTCTACCAACTCGTTAAATAATCCACTCTTTATATCGCCATTCTGTGCCAGTGTCCAAGTTAGCATCAAAATAAAACATTGTAAAACATCGAGTCAAATATCGTTAATTAAATTTCATTAAGTGTCTCACTCTACGTGACCTCATATAAAATACAGTATAAATAAAATTTTATCCGCAGAATAAAAATATGAAAACATTATAGTTTGAAAGTTGATAAAATTACTTAGGAGGCAACGAATTATATCAGATGGTCTTTGTGTCGGCTAAATTGAAAGATCTTGATTCGCGATAAAAATACACGCTCCGACCGGAAATTAACGTTAACACTTTCCTTTATCGACCATTTTGCCGCGAGTGATTTCGTTCCGTTTTTGTTTTATTTTAGGGTCGGGTAATTTAATTAGCTTACCAGGTGCGTGATGCAGGAAGCCAGATTTCGGAAATTATACCCTTACGAGTCAATTAAATTTCTACCTGTTCTAATCTAAAAAAGATTTATTCCTGAATAAACTTATCAACTATACCCTGAATCGAACCTTAAAACGAAGAGTTGAATTTTTGTTCGATACCTTTACGCTAGTCGAATTACGATTTTAAAAATTAAATAATGGAACTTAAGTAAATCCACGAATCGAGGCGATTCGAACTAAATATTATTGCAGTATTTACATAGAAATTTATTCGACTCCCCGCCGGAAACGTTCCTGTACCACGCACGACGCGGACGCGCTAAACACGATACGTTTTATTTACATTGTAAAAAGACGCGATACACCTAATTTATAACTAAGTCTTCAGTTGTCAGTCCATTGAAAATTCTGCTGCACTTCGCGTGCGTTTGTGCGTAAAACACGCACCCTGGACACGTTTCAGTGCCGTAACTAAAATCGTTAACAAACTACTGAGCACCACGTAGAAACGTACAATTCGAACATTCTGTTAAAAAATTTAAGAGAATATTACAGAGAAGGTTTAACACCGGAACAACCACCCTCCAAAATAATCTAAGATTAAATTATAGAGTAATTTTGTCCAGATAAGAATATTCCTATATTACATCTTAATAAATTAATCCTTACTCATGCACGAGTAAATTTTCTAAATTAAACTCGAGTTATATACACACCGGTTGTTCTAACGTTAAAATTTTCTGAAAAAATAATTTAGCAAGGTTCTGGTTACGGCACTGATCAGCTGATAACGAAAAAGTTCTCCCTGTTTTTCTCTATGGAAACAGATGTTTCCGGGGTTTTCGCGTAACCGGAAACGCGCAAAACAATGTCCTGCCTTCAGGCACTAGGCGGCAACAGTAAATACTATATCGCCCGAATAGAACGGTAATCGAGTGATTAAACATCTCTGTTGACCCGAAATTCTTTCTTTTCTTTATTATTTATTCAATTCCTCTAAAAACGTACGATCTAATAATTTTCTCAATTTGATCCATTCCTCTGCACCGTATTTGAAATGTTCCTTTTATTTACACGATTTAGACGCTATTTATTGCAACGAGTAAAAAATAGTCGTTTATTCCTATCACGACAGATAAAATGTTTAATGCCCATTTCGAGTACATTGTTTGATTCCGAGGATATACTTTCCAGTCTCTCGTTCTCTTCTTTTTTATTTGCGAAAAAACGGCCAGCGACGTTCCGCGAGAATTCAATTTTTGTACGACGGCTGGCCGGTCTTTTGGCGAGTTTCCGAACACAAACGATTCAATGATTTGCACTCGCGAACTTTCACGGGGTACGAAGTAGGCTAATGTTAACAATTCACACGCTTTCGAATGTGAAACTAGGTGTCCAAAATCTGTCACCGATCGACTAAACCATTTTTAACCCTCTATAATCAAATTCATTACATTTTCCACTTTATTCAAGAAAATGACAGAAAAATGTACGAGCAGTCAAGTATTTTTTAATATGCACTGTTTGACAAATTTTAAACAATTCAAACAATTAACTTATTGCATTATTCGATCATTTTTTACAGAGCACGCAATTGAACAATTATGTACAGCAAAACTTCCCTTGAATAAATTAATCAAATTAAAATGTAGATTTCAGAGTAGAATAATAGAGGGTCAAAATTTGCAATTGAAATAAAAATGCACTGTGAAATCGAGACCCGGTCGCGGATAAACTTATACTTCAGTCTTTTATTGTCACTATATAATTAAATAATAAAAAAGATATAAGTTACCGGTTGACCGTAAAGAAAAGATACTTCAATTCTCTCGAATCGTTTTTCGCTGCGAATTTTTAAGACACCCTATATATACACACGCACCGTTGCTAATCGAACGTTTACACTTCTTATTGATCTACGTCCGTATAGTTATCAAAATTTGTATGAATATAATTTGTATGAATAGTCGCATTATCGGGTCAACATTCAGGTACGGTTCTATACGGGCTTGTTATTATCACTAATTGTTACACAGACACATATGTACAACGTGTGCGACGGTGAACGTTTCAGGACTTTCGATTCTCTAGGTATTGTTCACTGAATTTTTGCAGAACCGAATTCGGAGAAAAATCTGACTCTAAAAACTTCGGTAAGATAAATAAAATCACTGTGAATATTTTTTTTAGTTAATTAAGGAATATTTTTGTTCCGCAAAATTCTGCAAACAGTTTCGCACTGGGACAAGAAGATAAAGACGGAATAGTTGAGAAAATGGCGGCAATCCTTTTGCCTTTCAGGATAAAATTAACGATGTATGGACTTTAAGAGCTTCCGGTGGTTTCTAAAGTTTTGCGACGAAATGAGCGTCGCACTTTCAGCAATTTTTAATATATTAATACCTGTGACCGTTTTCACGCGAGTAATCGACTGTACATCATCCCTTAACGCGTTCGGTCACTCGATATCGATCGTCACGCGATATCGCGGGCTAGAACACAGCCACTTTACCAAACGCGTTAATTCAACCCTTTGCACTCTGAACATTTAAAAAACAATAGAATATATAACTTTTCACGAGAAAAACGAGTACTTCGTACAACATATAAATTAACGAGCGAATTTTCTATAGAAAAATCTGTAAAGAGTGCAAAGGGTAAAATGAATATAAAAAAAGAGAGAAAGATTGTGTATATTAGCAGAGGTCAGACTTTCATTTACGTAAATCATTTTATCCCTGCTTTTCGTATTACTATCGCTAATTTTTTATTCTAGTTATCGTTAAATTAAATGAATCGATATTGCTAAATTAAGAGGAACTTCTAGGTATAATAGTAAAACGAATTAATTATATTCGGTAAAGACGCGGTTAAATACCATACGAGAAATGTAATAATTTAAATATATAAACGTAGAAACTATTTGTTGTTTTTTTTCGTTTATAATAAAATATATGTGTGTACGTGTATGTGTACGTGTATGTACATGTATATACATGAGAAGTTACTAGTTTTAAATTAAAGATGCAACTACCTGGTGTCTCGTTATCCATCTAGGTATCTAGGTACATTTCTATTAATTTATCTCAGTTTGATTTAATTTGCAAAATAACACGTTCAAATAAGAACGAAATTTGTCAAATTTTAAACATTTTATATTGCTTTCACGTTGATAGTTTGTAAGAGTATCAAGATACAAAATTAAATTCATTTCTCTTCCAAACAAAACAATTTGAACGAAAGATAAATTAAATTGCAACTAAAAATTCCATCAAGGAAATAAAAAACCGTAGACGATTTCAAACGAGCCACTGCATACTCTAACGGGCATATGTATACTAGACTTCCCTAGGGAAATAAACTAGGCATAATGCGTTGTAATTCCCGAGTATTATAGCGAATGTACCTTCGAGCCCTCACTAGTTACTTGCTACGATATTCAAGAGTTATTACATCTTATGTCAAGTTTACAGCGAATGGGGCTTCTCGCCAGTTTCCCTAAGGAATCCTTTTATGGTAGGTCATTAACGTACATCCAGGTGCAATGGCTTCTTACGGATAGAGATTTCAATTTTTAGGAGCTAAGAAAAATAGAGGGAAAAATTTTGACTTGAATTTAAAGAAGGGTGGATCAGAAGGCTCCAAATGTGGACATAGAAAGAAATAGAACTAAGGTCTAAAAGAGCTACGTAGAAAGAAAGGGCGGAGCCAAAGAACGTAAAGCTATAAATCCATGAAGTGTTGCACGTGAGTGTACATGTCAACCGTCTGCATACATATGTTCAGGTGAATACTACTCCCCTGTTTCCGATCGATCGAAGAATAAATACGGTCGCCGTAAAAATACTTATCCGAATGTGTGTATACATATGTGTATATATATATCATTACAATAAAATAGAGATATGACTCTGTCGTCTCTTAGAATTCTCTCTGCTTAATCAAGCTTCTAACAGCTTTATATCTACCTTTTATTAATATACATATACGTGTACTTATTGCAAAGATTGTTGGCATGCTTATTGCAAGTTTTACTTACAACATACCTTAACACGAGGTGTCTAAGTTGTTCGATTAATGGATCGCACCTCGTGTAAATGGTATGCATGTAACAAGGAACTCTGCTGTGAATGTGTGTACGTGTGTGTGAGAATGTGTGGACCGAGAAATCTTGGCGACTTTTATGAACATAGTGTACGGTAACTGGGTGGGTCATGGTTCATCTGACTTTTTCTGGGTGATTCTCGTTTGTCCTAACAAAATTTTCTCGGTTCAATTTTTTCAATTTCCTGAATATTCAAATATTATTCCACCGTCACTTATATTGTTCACTAAGATTAGTCTTGAACCCAACTTTGCAACGTTTCAAACTCGAATCACCCGTAACCAGAAAAGAATTATCTGAATCCCTGAAGATCTTATTAAAAAGTTCACGAAATGGTAGGTATAAAAAATAAACGAATGCACGATCTAACCTCGTGATCCTAAAGGTATTGCAGGACAGAGAGTTTGTCTGGTATTGCTAAGAATGTCTCTCAAGCGAAAATTTCTGTATAGAGAGAAAAATATCGATAGATATGTATATATGTATATACCTACTAGAACTTCTGATCCGTCTGAAGCACAACGCTTCATGTCGATCGACGAATCAAGTAAATTTTCTCTCCTTATTTTGCAACGATTTATACACTTTGTTACACGGTCGGTTATTTTAGCAACGGCTCAAAAATACAAAAGAAAGGAAAGTTTATACAACCACTATTCGATTAACTCGAGTGCTACGAATTTGATTCGACGAATAGGTTTGCGATTTAGAGAGAACCTGAAGTCTCAAGGTATAAGAAAATTTGTTATCTTTCGATCGTAGCAATCAACGTTAATCGAGACAACAGAAGTGCATTGTGAACAGCACCAGAAAACGTGAACCTGATACGAAAGTGAAAAGATTCGTGTCCACGAGCGGTCGACCTAGTCTAGCGAAACTAATTTCGTCCGACTTTCCAATGAAATAGCGAAGAACCCATTGTAGTTCCGTGTACAGAATGTCCGCATGAATCTAACGCAATACCAAATACGTACATGTATATTTAATTAATCAGTTCTTTCGCGTGTGGCTCTAAAGTAGGTCAAGGATACCGCTATTCTAGGAAACAGAAAATCCTCACGAAAGGACAAAAATAAAAAAAATAATAATAAAAGAAAAACAGTAGATAACCCTTCCAAGGAATGAACAGTTCGTAGACTCGCATGGCCGAGGAGTTAGAGCTTTTGGTTACGCTTAGGAAAAAAGAACAGATAAAAAGAGACGAAACTCTGAACACCTAACGCGTTCGAAATCTAGACGCTTTTGGTTAGGCTCGCATTTTCTCGTCAGACGAGTATGCTCGAACACGAAAAACGGTGAAAATCTCTTTTTCAGTCGCTCGTCGTCATCCTACATACGTCAACGAGTACCGAGAGAGACCGAGGGTGTCGCAAATAAACGATGCTCGTGTCATAAACGAAGAAATAAAAGGAAAACGTATGTCCCTCGTCTATCTCGTGCTCGCTGGACCCTCGTTTCGCGATTCATTGCCCTGAGTATCGTTTTGTACATGGTACGTCGACGAGTTTGTGACTTGCGAGGGTCCGCGTCACAACTGACTACAAATACAGAGAGACCGTGTGTACGCGTGTAAATTAATCTCATCGATCGAGAGGTACATCCTCCATGTTGGCTACGTTACCGAAATGCTGGAAACCGTTCTTGAAGATGCGGGCCCTGCTGGTGCCAGCCTTAGTCTGGTCGAGCAACGTCACGTTGTCCTCGAACTCCTTCACCCACCTGGCCGTTTCGTTGCCCCAGTGGAACCTGATGGGCGCTGCGTGATGGTACGGCTTCTTCATGCCCGAATTGCGGCTCTCCACGCCCTCCACCGAATGGTAGAACGACTTCTCGTAGAAATCTTGGCCCAAGAACGGCTCCAGCTCGGACACGATCTCCATGAAGGTCGGCCGATCGCTGGGCCGCCATTTGAAACACTTCTCCATAATCTTCTGGATGTTCTCGGGACAGTTGCGAGGGATGTTCAGGGTGCCCTTGTGCAGCACGTGGCTGAGCACCTCCTCGTTCGAGAAGCCTTGATAGGGTATCTCGGCGAGGGTTAGGATCTCGTACAGAACCACCCCGAAGGACCAAACGTCAGAGTCCGAAGTGAACACACCGTCGGAAAGATTCTCGGGAGCCATCCATCTAATAGGGAGCAGTCCCTTTCTGCCGATCTTGTAGTAGTCCGTCTCGTAGACGTCCCTGGCCATACCGAAGTCACCGATCTTACAGACTAGGTCCTTGGAGACCATACAGTTCCTCGCGGCAAGGTCACGATGGACGTACTTCTTGGACTCCAGATAGGCCATGCCATCCGCGATCTCGGCTGCCATTCGCATTATCTTGCACGCGTCCGGTACCAAGCTGGTGTCGCGAATTCGACGCAGGTACGTCTTCAGATCCCCGTTCTCCATCAGCTCCATGATGACGAACGGAGGGTTCTCTATGGACACCACACCTAGGAGCTTGATGATGTGGTACGTGGAGAAGTTCTTCATCACCGAAGCTTCGTTCAGGAACTCGTTCTTCTCCCTCTGACTGGCCGTCTTCGAGATGGTCTTTATTGCCACGGAGACGGTCTTGTCGTAGATTCCACGGTACACCATGCCGAAGTTGCCCAGACCTAGCTCCTCGAGAATCTCCACGCTCTCCCTGGGCACCTCCCACTCGTCGATCACGTACTTCGTCTCTATGTAATCGGGATTTACGCTGGCTATCAGTCTTTCTTGCTTCTTCCTCTTCTGGTGGTTCCTCAGGAGTAGGATCAGCACAAGCAGCACCGTGGAAACGAAACCCACGGTCAGCAACGCGATCAACGTTACCGGAGCGGTGTCGATTAGACCCACGGAGAAGTAAACCACTTCCGAGAAGGCACCGTCTCCTGCCAAGGACGTGGAACGAACTCGCAGACTGTACTTCCCGGGAACCAGGTTCTTCAAGAAGTAGCCATTAAAGGCGTCCTTGCGACTCGTGTACGGTATGCACTCGGTGCTCTTCTTCGCGTCCTTCACGTCTAGATTCGTGTACTCGATGGTGTAGGAAACCGTGACGGCATTGGGATCCTCCACTTTGTCCCAGGACACTTCCACGATGGTGTTGTTGGTCACCAGTACCTTGACACCCTCCACGTTGTCAGCGCTCTCGCGCTTCTTCGTCCTGCTGTTCGTGTACTGGACCGAAGAGCACATATTCTTCTCGTCCACTTTGACTCCGCACGCAGCTATGCTGATGGTGTAGCGCGTGTAGTGTCGCAAACCTTTGACAACGAACGAGTTCTGTTGTCCAGTGACATTATACAAGATCGGAGCTTCGTCCACGTGGCTGTGGGAACTTTCGAAGTCAGTCTTCGCCTCTTCAGGTCGCGGCGTGGACAAATTGTTCGTCATCTCGTAGAATCGGTCGTCCAGCATGGAGTTGTAGTTGTTGTAGACGCAGTAATCCTTCCAGCCGGGTGATATGTAGCTGATAGTCGTGTTCTGGAGGCAAAAGATCTCGAACTTCTTCGAGGTGACGATGTTCCTGTTAGCGTTCTTCGAGCAACAGTTGGTTATACTCGGCACTGGTGTCTTTATGGTCACTTCCGGTACCGCCTCCGTCGTTTCGATCTCGTTCTCCAGCGTGTTGTTACAGTAGTCCCTCGCAGAGATCAGGTCATTGTCCTCAGGTATCACGGCGCTGGATAGAATGTAGTACCCTATTGGTCCGTTCGGGTATATGGGCAAATCCCATTTCACTAAGATCTCGGAGTCGCTCAGACTTGACGACATCACGTTCGTCGGAGGCGACGGTATGGTACTCTTGGTCCTGAAGAAGATGATCTCCGATTGACCAACCGGGTTCACGAAGTAGTTAGAGTTCTTCGCGATGAACGTCTTGACATACACGCCGTACATGGTGTACGGTTTCAAGTTGACGATGTGCTTGGACACCGTGGAGTTGAGCCTCGGAATATCCACGTCGACGATCTGCCAGGTGTTGTTGCCTCCGCAGGCGTTGGACTCGTACGATATGTTCCTATTCTCGGTCTCGATGTAATTGAGCAGATAACTGAGCAGTTGTTGTCCTTCCGGCGGCTTGTAGCTGTCCCAAACCAAGTCCGCGAAATCCGGACCCAGGTCTTTAACGGTGATGTTGATGTTCACGATGTCGCAGGCCACCTTCTCGCCGTTGGACTCCGGCTGCACCTCCAAATCCGTGAAGTTCGAGATGTTCACCATCTTGCTGAACTGCACGATCTTTGAGAGGCACAGCTTCGGATTGTAATGGAAAAACAGTCGACCGTTCTCGATTTTGATCTTCTGGTCCGGAGCGAACAGGTTGGACAGATTAGGGTTGTCTAACACCGCCAGACTCGCGTTGTTTATATCCAGCTTCTCCCCTTTGATCACCTTCAGCTTCTTGAAGAAGCTCAACGACGTGATCGGAAACGAATGAGTAATCTTCACGTATTCCGTGATCTCTTCTACTAGGCCAAACGCGTCGCTCAACTCGTTCATTATGTTTGGATTCCCGTTTCGAATCTGGAACTCCAGGGCACCTTTCACCACGGTTATACCCCGGAAACTCTGAGCATCCGAGATGTGGCGTATCAGGGAGCCATGGGTGACCTTTCGACAGCTGCCCTCGCATTGGCGACAGGTCGTCATCTGAAATTGCAAGGTGATTTCGTGTTATCAAATTTTTAAATATCCAAATGCATCTGTCACAAGATAAGGGAGAACTTTTCAGAGCTCATCTTATGGCGAACGGTACACCGCGTAAACTGTTATCTAAACGAAAGCTAGAACTCAGCACAGGATATATTTCGAAAGGTTAGTCGGCTATCTGTACTATCTACCGGCTACCGTGCAATCATCAATTATCACCACTTTCAAACTTCGAAAGTAGAACGATATGAAAACCTTGTCGTTCCGTAATTGGCGATTTAGCATTTTAACACTCGAGTGTTTTGCGATAATGAACGACGCTCTCTCTCTCTCTCTGCCTCTCTTTGGCCTTGGAAATTAAATACGAACACGATACTCGACTTAAATACGAGTTCAGAACTTCCTTCGTGTAATCACACGACTTCCCTAACGCGTTTGGCTAATTAATCGAACGAGAAAAGTTTCTTACGTTGTTTTCGTCGAGTGCGTACTCGTATCCTTCAGGACAGTGAGTCACACAGGATCCGTTGAACGGCCTCCAAGCTTGCCCTTCCTCCAGGAAATAGTAGATCCTTCGCAATCGATTCATTTTCACGCACTCCTCCTTCGTTACGCATCGTCTCGAAAGATAGGAGTATCTGCGAACAATTAATATTTTAGATTATCTTCTGATACTTTTATCGAACGATATCAGTTTCGATGGAGCCAGTATGTAATACAACAGTTGCTTACAGATGAGGAGGACACGTTTCCACGCACTTTCCTTGGTGTCGATAGTGTTTGCACACGTAACACTCGCTGTCCGAAGGTCCTCGACACTCGCCGATACACTGTTCGTGACAATTTGGCTTATCTATCTTCTGACAATGCTGGGAAGTCCAGCAATAACCCTCGGGACAATGGGAACACACTGGAAAAGGGAATGATCGATTAATATTGCGATCACCCGGTAGTTCTACGCGGATTTAACCCTTTTTCGAATAACGACGAGTGAAAGTGTCAGCTAAATGTGTAAAAGTTTTATATGAAGCGACAAAGCTGTACAAGTTCTTGCTTCATCGAATGTGAATTCGAAGAAAGGTTAAATGAATGTGTGTTTTAACGTGCAAACGGTAATGTAACAGTGAACGACATCAACGTTTTTGTTCGTATCATGTTAAAACATTTTCACCGTGAGATGAAATATTTGTGGTGTGGAAACTTTCATACGCCCTATTTAACGTCGTGTGCTTGTATCTAATACGTTACATGTAGATTGGGATTTAATATTAACCAAGCTCAGTGTCTTCTGTAACAGAGATGAAAAAAAAATACAACAGCTGATTAGTGCGAAGCAGTGGAACTTTTGTTTGGTGTCGGGGGATCGAGTGTTAATTAATCTTAGTCACGAAAATTTAAGTATGTACAAATATATTAAAACGTATGAACAAAAAGATTAATAGCGTTTCCCAAACTGTAGATTGCTAAAATATAAAGAATTCAACAGGTAATTTTAGCAACTAAACTTTGACGAACTTTAGCAACTGAAAAGTCCGCAATACTAAAGTTTGAGAAACGTAACAGAAAATGACAAAATTGAACGAATGATTACAGGATGAAAACTGCCTCCAAAAAGCAAAAGCATATCAAGCAAGGGTGAAGCCAGACAAAAGAAGCAGCTCATTCGGAACGTGCAAATAAATAAATAAAAAAAAAAAGGGATAATTAAAGGATAAGACAAGGAGGAAATATAATACCAGGACAAGAGGCCTCCTCCCCGTTATCCTTGATGACGTTCTCCCCCGCGGACACGATCAGATCCCAGTTCAATGTGTTTGTGTAACAAAGAGACGGATTCTTTTCGATTCGAACGCTACCTCTGGAGATTTCTCTGAGATTCTTCAGGCCGATCTGCAACGGAAGAAAATTTCGCTCGAAAATATATTTGAGGGTACTTCGTGGACCGAGCCAGTCAAAAAAAAATCGGCGATACACCGATTTACTAACTCAACCGAACAGAGGTCGAACGACTGGTTAATTCGATTGACTAATTAACGTCACTTGACCCGAGGGGTCAACTGGCTGAGTCCAGAACGAATTGGAACGAAGCATCGAAGTCAGGAATGACTGTATCGTCCACGAACGTGGCGATTCGACAGAATTGGACTATGAGCTAGTATACTGTTTGCTCCCAAATTTCGCAACACTCAACTTCTGAAGTATTCTATTTCTCGACTTCCCAGATCCCAAATTTCCTATTTTGCAACCCCTAAATTTAAACATTTTAGTTTTGCAATCTACAACTTCCTCAGTTGTCAATTACTCAAATTGGCAGCAAATTGAAGGTAAACGTAAGTTCGTTAGAATCGCGGTTAATAAACAGAAAATAGCCAGGCAATATCGTCCAAATATTTGCGAACTAAGCGAATATTGATCCGCGTTTATTTTCAGGAATAACACCGCACCGAATCGTTCGCACCTTCACCCCTTGACACATATTGTTTCGTTTTTTCCTCCTCTTTTTTCATTCAAAGAGGTACTACCTGCGGGTATCTTTCGAAAATATTTGCTCTGCAAACAGCGCGATTTTATTCCACCGTATCGTGTTTATCTTTTCGCTGCATATTGAAACATCGACGCCTTTCACCAATTTGCTATCTACCCTGCCACATCGCTCTTTAAACTATTTTCAATTTTAAAATATTGATTACATTCCACGTTTCATGACGCCCAAACACTTACCTCTTGCAAGTTTTGCATCTCGTACAGCATGAAAGAATAATCTGTTAATAGAATATTGCCCCGGATCACTTCGAGGTTGGGGAACAGGTTGCTAAGACTTTTTAGGCCGTTGACGCGATACATCAGAAGGTATCCGGTGATTTCCTTGAGATTCGGGAAACTGATGTTTTGGAAATCCTTCTCGACACCGTTCTCCATCAGGACGATCTGCAGGAATCCCTCGATGACATGGCAATCCTTCATGATACCGAAGGCCCATGCGCCGTTCCTGATGTCGATGCTCTGACAAATACCGTCACCGATCGTCACGTTTTTATACCGTCGAGTCTTCTCGCGGATGTCCGTCGATTTTGTAGTCGGTTTCGGCAATTTGCTCGATTGGCCAGGTTGCTGGCCCATTTTCGTGTTTGCCTCCGTCGATCTGCAATCATAATTGAAACGATTGCCTTCCTGCGTTCGTCACAATTCGTTCAATTTGTTTATTCGTTTCATGCAGAATATGGAAAAATAAATAACATATTGAAAATTTCGTGTTAGGGACTCAGCTAGGAAGTCATACGAGAACTTATTCGAAAAGAAAGTTGTTGAAAGGAAGACAGTTGTACCTGGAAGCATCGATCGCCCTGTTGCTCCTGTAGGAAACGATCTGATCATAAAAGGGGTCGTCGAAACCGCCGTCGACCCCGTGGCGTACATGTCTCTCCTCGTTGAGCAGCCCGATGTCCTCCAGTTTCCTGTTCGCATAATCTGTCTCGTATTTGGCCTGAATGCCAGCAGCGTCGTTGCGGTAATTCGTCCTCGACCAGCCGTTGTCCTGGCAGTAGGCCAGCCGCGTCGCGACGCAGAGAAACACGATCAGCAGCAACCACCTCATCTTCGTCATCTTCTTGTCTCATCGACACTGTCCTATTGACCAGGCTGCTCTATCGTGAAACCTTCTGAAATTACCCCACCCTTCACCGGTGTCAACCGCCTCCACGCACACGAGTCTCTCGATTAATCGGTCCGATCGATCGATGCCTCACTCGGCCACGGCCAGGACTCTGTCAGACTTCGGTTAACCGACGGTTCGGCTCGTTGACCACGTGAAATACGCTTCAACGGATTCGATTCGTCGTTTATCCGCTTCCTTATCCGTTAACCCCCAGCTTCTGAACTTGAAGAGGCTCCTACGGTCAAGGTAGCCTCATACTCCGTCAGTTTTGCCGATGCGGACTCCGATTCAGAAGAGTTTCTTGTTGAAGATGAAGAACTTCCTGGCCCTCATAGCTCCAGCGACGCTTGCGAACGCCTGCGAACAATCGACAGTGTTTAGATGCTTGATGGGTTGTGATTCTGGGAATCTCGATTGTTCGAGACACGTTTTAGATTGCGATCGTCGACTTGAACCGATCACTTGACCCTTTAAGAAGCTACGTCGACGAACTGTTTGCCAGACGCCCGCTTTCGATTCGTCATTGTACCATTGGGGAGAACATTTTCAACTACTTCTCAAATGAACCTTTCGTGGTACGCGAATTCTCATATTTCCCTCTACCCGTTTTCAAGACTCTAGTACACAATTTCGTACAAATTTATTGTTGTAGCTTTACCGTGTATTACGTAAATGGCCCATTATATAAATTTGCGTATTAACATACAAACGGTCGAAATTTGCATGTTAGTTAATGAAAATGAATGTTATCTCGAAAGCTTTGAAGAGAACGTATAATAGAAGCTACATGAAACTTACATTAAAGAAAAATGGGTCATAGTATCGTTTCCGTATCGCGGGAGATTGATAAATCGAGTAGAAGCCTCATCGTGGATAGCGCTCGTAATTAACGCAATTTGTTTGGAAAGGAAAGGCTCGTTCTTCGATTAAGCATCGCGTAGCAGGTTGATCGACGGTCCCCATTCAAATTCACTGGCGGATTATTAGCCGGCAATGGAGAAAATGAAGTGGCACTTAACGACGAAAACATTCGATAAACCCATCCACCCGACAGATATTTTTCCTTCTGGCTTGTCATCGTTTCTCTTTCTGCCGCGTTGATTTCTCTCCTTCTCTCCCGGTACGCGTTTTCCGCTCCGGCAACCGCGACGACGCTATAATTTTTCGCTTTACAAGCGTGTCATTTTGATCCGAAACGAATTCGTTTTTTATCTGCGTCACCGGGGGCGAGGCGCGGATCGTTGGGAAATGTCGATTGGAAAACGTGTAATTATAGTCAGGTTGAATGGGTGTGAACTTTTTTACTATACAAATAGTAAAAGGATAAAATGTGTACCATATCATGTAAAGTAATGTTAATAATTTGTGTGTTGGAAAGGTTAATTATATGCTGCCTACATCCATTAAGATTTGTTCCATCGGCACCCTTGATAGATACAAGAACGCGTGAACGTGTGTTCTCTTTTGCTCGTCACAAGCAAAATTACAAGAGGCGATAAAGCGATAATTGCACAATGGGCAAACACGAAAGTCGCTCGCGGTAGCACGTGCACGAGCCTCGGAAGAGCACATTGAATGGCTTGGAATAACAGCGCACGAACGGTATTTACTGTTACTCCAACCAGACTATTTACTCGCCGTCTTATGCAATAGCCCCGGTTCGTTTCACGATTTCGACGATTTGAGAAGAACAACGTCTGGTAATTAAACATTAAACTTTTCGCGATTACCAGCAATTAACGTTACTTAACACTCGCAGATTAAATGGATTAGCACTTCATAATCTAACAGTAATATAAGCGAGTATACGCTAAATGTTTGAAATCGCAGGAGTTTCTGTTAACACAATTTGAGCTGTTTCTTGCACGCAAAGATTGGGCATTGACAATTTTCTGTGGATTAGAAATTGAAACTATTAAAAACTTGTTTCTTTGAATAGAAGTGGCGCGCATGCGCGCGCAACTGTACTGCGCATGCGTAACGCTATTCAAGAGACCTTTTCGGAAAATACTTGAATATTTGAAATTGTAGCAATTGGGATTGAACTGGTAATTGTCTGATACTATGAGAAATTTGGAACAATTATATTAATAGATGTGGTGGTTTTAGTATGCGAAAGAGATTTTTTAAAAAATGAAAGTTGAGCAACTTGAACTAAACATCCAGGAAATTTAGATAATTAAAATATGTTGTTGAGTAGCTCTTTTTTGATGGAAAAAATTGCGCTTTCGTTTAGAGGAGTGGGATTGAAAGGACGTGAAATTGGTCAAGCTGGCGCGAGATTCCGCCCATTCATAACTTGACGCGATGCTGATAACAAGCTGATAAGCAGCAGATTGGCTCGTGCCTGGGTCCCCTTCGTTTCTTATCGCCCACTATGTCGTGGAATTCGAGACGGCAACGTACGATTCAAGCTACGTGGGTAGCTTCGTATCAATGAAAAATCAAATACGATTTCTTTTGACGAGGTGAAAAATAATAGCTGGAAGGGCGAAAGTAAAAAAGAGCGCGTATGAATCAAAGATTAGAATTCTGATAGAGTTTACATAGTCTGTATGGTTTCCAGAAATATTGGTTACCTCATACCCGAATAGATTGCCAGAATTATTTTCAGCAATGTAACATTCTAAATAGAACGCTTCGAGAGAAAGTTGCACGACCTGTTAAGACAAGTAAACGGACAGGTGTTTCGCGTTATGATGGATCGTTTATGAGCTCGATGTAATAACGAACGAGGAAACGACTGCAGTTCAATTATTGAGACCTCAAATTATTTTGAGCCACGTGGAACTACGAATCTGACACCAATGTCGGATGTTTACTGTCTGCCTTTGCCGCGACTTGTTTACTCCAAACTATTTCGAGTACCTTTGAGTATTACAATATGCACTTTGAGTACATTGCACTCAAACTCCAAGTGGTATGAACAGTTTTGCTTCGGTGACTGTTCTGCACAATTTATGTCGTTCGAGTACACGAACTATAGTTTCAAATAATTAAGGACAAAATTCATGAAGTAGCCAATATTTTGAGTGAACAGTTCCAAGTATTAAAACTGCCTACTTTTCACCGTACAATCTAAAATTGTGAATCATTTGAGCAGCCGACCATGAAGCTATTTTGAATCGCCACGAATATTAAAACCAGCTCCCGCAAAATTGAGCACTCTATTTTCAGCAATGATCATTGAACTTGACTGTACTAATCGCGAGTGAAGCTACAAATCTATGAGCTCATATGAGCAAACAATCGACCAGTTATATCAACAAACTTGTTTCCGTGAAAGATCGTCCGAGACGGAGTCCATTGAACCCGATCCAGTCACACCTACGTAGCAATTTCGCGTGGTGAAAATAAGCAACGCTAAACGACGTCTCCCACAGAAAATCGGAAAATTAATTAACGTACAGTGGTTTGTTCTTATCAGAAAAGTATGCCAGCACTCGTCGAGGCCAGTGAACGCTCGTAGCTGTATTTTCAGTGGAAGACACACCATTTATTAGAAGCTTTATTCCGTCTAACGGTTTGCAACTTTCTAACACCAGCTCTCTTCGAGGTGTACGCGTATCCAATCGCGTCGGATTGACTCGTCATAAATACCAAAAAATGTCGACTCGTAATGAAAACATCGCGAGACAGCAATTTTATTTTATGTGATGCCTTGAAGACTCATAAGATTATTCGAGGAAGTCTTTCGCTTCGAGGAACTTAGGTGGCATCATCCAGATTTCATCTGGTTATTCCAACCTCCGCGGACGTCGATCGAGCCGCTAATAAATATTCATTCGGGGTGTTTGCTTTTTCGACTTGCCACTTTGTTGATGCATGCGTAATCGTTGGCGTTCCACCAACCTCGGTAAATTCGTTTAATCCGAGCTGGCTCAGATTATACCAAGGCTGAAGCGATTGTTCGTATTAATCGATAGATAACAGTTAGGAGATTGATCACTTGGAAATTTAGTGACTTAGAAATTTGGAGGTTCTAAAATTGGGGAGTTGGAGTAACAATGTACTCTGATAATATCATATAAGTAATATCACCACTATAACAAATAACAACAAATTTCCAAAGTATTGACATTATATGTCAAGCACGTGTCACCAACCTCTCAACAGAGGTTCCAGATCGAAGTCTCTCGTTAAGAAAGAAAACAGAAGGTGTTTTTTATTATTGCAAAGTGATAAGAGCGTTGTTTATTCACTCGTAACGTTGACGCAACAAAAACAGAAATATTCATACGATATGCAAGGTATTCGTGGAATTTCGATTAACGGCAGGGATGTAAAAGAGAGGAGGAGCATCGAGGTTAGCGAAACGTTTGAAAGAACGTCAACAGCTGACTCACGAGCAAAGCGTTACGTTAAGCGGACCATAATTAGATGGACATGACGTTGTAACCTCGTGCCGAAACTTTCCGGCTCGGGAATCCATCGGGAACGTTCGTTCAACGTCCATTCCTCGTTCTACTCCATTTTGTTCATCGAGTTTCCGGTACCAACTAAGGAAAAGTTACTTCGGAACTTTTAGCGGATTCTCTGAGGAGATATAATTTGACGTTTTTCAATTTCCCAGTTGTCTTGTAACTGCAGCAATTAAGTAATTATAACAATTGCTTAACTGTGAATACCTGTAAAGATTATCTTGCAGGTAATTGCTCATGTAATTACTTTGACAATTGTTCCAACTGATAAGGTGAAGCATGTAAGGACTCTACTTGAATGAAAGAATTAAATTTGTATTTAATTTTGCAAACGTAACAAAGCAGTCATCTAGTTTGTTGGAAGACGATAACATCAGACATTATTGAATTCTGATGTTCCGTTTCAGATGACTCACTCTGTATACTTTATCTTCAGGACAAAGTTCTTGCAAGAGAACTGGGCGTATCGCTCTTGATCAGATCTTACGTCGCAGAAACGTAGAATGTTGCTCGAAGGTGAAGCAATTGACGATAACTTTAAAGTTACCTGATATTTGCTGGAAATTATGGAACGCATTAAATAGTCCCAAGGTGACAAGCGTTGCAATTGAGATTCAAGCTCGTGTGAACGGAGAAATCGTAATTTTTATGGTATTACAAGTAGAATTTAAACGATCAAATTGAGCAACCCTGTTGGTATTAAACATTCCAAGAGAACTTGTTAACATATAGCCGATTTCTAGGATCAGCTAAATTGCAATATAGCAGATATAACGCAGAACTGTAACGAACTTGTTAAAAATAAGGAAATAGTAATTAACAGTAGTGTGGCGTTAATCCTTAGAAAGATAACAATCATCGTGTCATTAAATAACAGTTTCAACTGGTTAGCCATGAAATATTCTTGGGTATAATTAACCGGATATTCGCGAGCGAGGTTCACATTGATCGAGCAATTAATATAGCCGGTATTATTCGTGTTACAATGTAATTACAGTGAGAACAATGGTTCGATGAGCATTCGTCGAAACGATATTTGGCCTCACAATTATTTTTCGAGCAACGAAAAACGAGTCACGCAGTGGTAACGCACAACGAATCCACCACGAGGAGGCACAGATACGATTGCCCCGTAACGATATAATTAGTTTAGTCGTAATTACAGCTTGCCACGATCGTTCGTTGATACACGCGGCATTTTGCCATCGTAACCAGCGTGCGAGCTTACGCGTACCGAACGAAACATTCTGAACGGATGCTCGTTAACGTCTTACACCACAATTCTACCAGATACTCTAATTACTTGCTTTCGATTATATAACCACCTTGTATATCATGATACTAAATTCATTTAGTATCTCCAAATTCACACGCCATGTACCTTGAACATTCTCTCTGATCTTCCAGTGATAGAATCTTCCACTACGTACAAGTAATGCTACTGTATGCACTAATTGACTACATGTACTAATGATGGTAACAATGTAACAGTAGGATACTAATGTAACTAATCAAGCGAAGGGTGATGTAAAAGTATAAAGCTTGTGGAAAAAGCTTGAGAGAGCAAGTATTCAAAAATTTGTTTTCCTCGATCTATCTTCGAACGGGGCCACGTCCGATTTGCAGAGCGAAGCTCGTAAGACGGATGCAAGCCGTAGATAATACCGAATTATTTCTAGAAGCATAAATTACAGCGAAGCTTGCACAAACAACGCAATGTCGCGATGACAAACAAGCAACAAAGAACTCTCGTTTGAGCTGATGGTGGCGACGAAGGGAGAGACAAATGACGGGCCAAAAATTGCATCATTGCGTCACCGGGTGTCAATCGGTTGCGTCACCAGCCATATTTGTCATTCTTTCCTTGAAGGGTACGAAGAAAGTTAACGACGGTTCAATAAAATACGAACTTTGTCCTCGCACCCTCAGAGAAAATTATCGAACATCAAAACACTAAATGTTTTTATGGTAGTTAGTCAATCGTTACTAACCGTGTATCGAACATTTCGAACTTTCACCGTTTCAGGTGCGAGAATTAGAGAATATTCAGTTTTTCCTCCTTTTGACGAAATTTCGACACGAATTCTCTGCGAGGTCGACTCGAGGAAACTCAACGTGTATCAATTTCACGCAATTTCATTCACGGTGATTCAATTACGTACAATTTTCGCGTTAACTCGAGGCAATTCGGGAGCTATTGAGATTCAGACGTGATTCAATTTTCTTGTGATTTAGTTGCGATTCAATTCCACGTGACCCAATTCAGACAGTTCAATTTTGCTTGAGAAAACGATAAAAGAACATTGAAGATTTTATCGTTTTAAAAATTGTCCGTTCTACTCCTGAAACGCAACCCCAAAAGGTTCGCATCTACATAACCGGACTACTAATTTGAATGATCAACACAATAGGATCCTTAAATCTTTGTAGCAGGGGTTAATGACATCGAGACGCATCCCCTTGAGCCTTACGCTCCATAAATAAGGGTGCGTTTTGAGGACGAACCCTATCATTTAATATCACGTAGCGATTTCGTGGTTTCAATAATCTAGATAGTGATCGCACTATGTTTGGATCGCGTTATCATCGAACACTCGATGTCGACATCCAATGTTACGATTACAAATAAATGACACTGTAACATTTTCACGGTAAATCGATGATAATGACATCAAAAGCAATAAAATTAAATGTCACGCTAAATGTGTACGTAATCTAGTGGGTCACACGAACGAGGGAAACGAGGTGTCCGAGACGGATCGATCAATGATCTATTTTCAGCGTTCGAGTCGATCTAGTACCGGAACTAGCACGCATCGCGACCGTGAGAAAATGTTTCCAGGAAGCTTTCAACCTCGTCCCACGCGTCGCCACCTCGACGCCATCTTCCAAATTGTCCGTGTCAAAGGATCTCCTTCCATGACATTTCCCATACGAAGATAGACCGCCGCTACGAGGACCATTGCGTTTATTTATGAAACGACACATTCTTCTGTCTTGTTACACGCGCACGCGTCACTTGCTTGTCTCTTGTTTTCGCACGAACTTATTTAGGGGCTAATGAACGGATGTACTGATTCACGCGCGTCTATTAGCGACTCGGCTAGCCTTCTTCAATAACTTTGTCAATTACTTCCACTTACAAATTTAATTTGTTTCTAGATTCCTAAATTCTTCGACTCACAGATTCTTAAGTTTCTATGAACACATGGTCTCCGAATTCTTGAGCTGCCATATCTCTAGATCTGACGATTCGTAGATCCCTGAGTTCTAGATCCACAAATTCCTAGGTCGCCATATTCTTACAAGGGACATTACCCAATCGCCAATCGCCGATTTTGATGCGCTTTGAGTATGATATAGAACGCAAAAAAATATTTGACACGTATTTTTTTTTATCGGCCATCGTTCATGTTGAAGGGGTGAAAATGGCCCCCAAAGTTGGGGTTGCAAAACATATTTTCTCGAATATCTCAGGAACTATTAGGCCTAGACAAAAAATTAAATGTGCAAATTTTTCTGTTTTAGAAGGCCAATAATATGGCCTAAGTGGATTTTTGAAAAATTTATTTGTTTAAAAAATATGTTAAAAATTAACATTATTTTGCAAATTTTTTTAATAAAACTTTGTACTATTTTGATCAAATTTTACACATGTAAACTATAGGTCAAAAGACAAAATACGGATAAATTGGAATTTTTAATTTCGCTTGTGGAAAAAATATTATTGTCGTTGAAGTTATACGTACATTTTATACCTTCCGTTCGGTGCACAATTGATTTTTATACGTAATATTCTGGAAATTGTATTATATTACATTTTTTACACTAACATATTTAAAAAAAAGAATTTGAAGATCCAAAGGTGCCTGTATAAAAATATGCCGTTTGAGTCAGATATCGCATTTGATCCGCATTATGGGCGCGTACTGGTGGCAGTATTCGACGCACGGAGGATCTTAACGCGTAAATTGTACTTGTGCGAAGTATAATATCTTCATAATGATGTAGAATACGTGCAATTAAAGGAATTACACCTGTTGATTAAGAATTTTTTCACGATTGTAAAATATATATTATTAGGTTGGGTAACTTTGAAAATACCACTTTTTTAATAATTTTTTAATTTTTTTAAATTTTGATAAGAAATATTATATCGCCAAATAAAACTTTGACAGTTTTAAGTATTAAAAAATCGCTACTGGATTAATTCAACCTTCTGATGTATGTGGTTATAGAACATGGACAAATTTTGCGCATTAAATATTAAATCTTTTGCCTGCGTTAGATTTACAAATTAACGTACGGGCATGGGACATAATTATCAAGATGTGTCCTTTAATTCATAATCAATTGTCCGTACCTAGGTATAAAAAACTGTTTAAGTACGCATGGTTACAGTATGGTTC